GGGCGAGGAGGAGACACTACCAGGAGCGCTCCAATGGGCAGGTGCTGGATGCACACACAACCCTCCGGAGAAGCCCTTCCCCCAGTGTTAATGTCAGCCAAGGATGGAAGGCCCTACCCCCATCAGAAAGCGGAGCGTTCCTATTTAACCCTTTGTAAGCCAAAATGGCCTCAAGCGAAGAAGCCATTTACCATTTATATGGGAAGATTTTTTGAGCGTTCCCAGAACCAAAGCTAACCTGCCAAATGGTACAAATAACACAAAAAGCCTAAAATGACGCCAACAGAGTGCTCACAGACACAGTGCAGAGCTATGGCGACTTGATACTGCGATGCTGCGCGTAATTCCCAGCGAAGGGGCTTGGCCACGCCACTGCTGCTGCTCAGGGCTCCGCCGAAAACAAACGCTGAACGCAAGTGTCGCTCTTATGAAACGAGAAAAGCCTTTCCAGATTTCTCTCGGTGAAAACGGTTCTGATGCAGGTCTTTGTAAAAGCGAAGTGGTGTAAAACGAAGTTTTTTTGGAAAGTGCGTGGCTTGGTTGTGGGGGGGTGTGTCTGTAATGTGGGTGCTTTAATTAATTGCTTATACTTTGCTGTATTTATAAAAAAATATTAACAGTGAAATATTACTGTATGGTCAGAAAGAAAAAAAGACCTCAACACAGCATTCATTCATTCGGCCCAACTTATCATTCATTCCACCCACAAATGAGAACCGACACCCCTTGTCAGGGGCCAGCTCACTGTGGCCCTCCCATGACTCCAATAGCATGTCAGAGAAGAAAATTCCGAGAGGCCAACTCTTGCCCCAGTGCCTTCATCCTGGGTTTTCAGCCCCTTCCCCACCCACAACTGTTTTCTCCATCAGCGGCCAGAGTCTGGAACCAGATGCACATGCCAGGCCCTGAGAGGAGGCTCAGAGCCCCACATAAGGTATTGGCCCATGTCCACAGCCAACCGGGTCAGGTGTGGACACCATCCAAGTCTTCCCCACTCTGGGGTCTCCCAGTCACACTCTTGTCCTCCAGCCCTACCCACTTGCCACTTGCAACCAGAGTGACTTGAAACAGGCAAAATCCTCACCACGTCACAGCCCTGCTCCTGTACTCAGTGGTAACCCTCTGTCTCAGACCAAACCCCACCCCCTCCTCCAATGCCTGTGGTCCAATGGGATCCGGCTGCTGCCCACTTCTCCATCCACCTGGCCCTGCCCTGCCTGCGCCCAGCCCAGCTCACTAAGCTCCAGCTGCCTGGCCATCCCTTGCCGTCCGTCAACCGTGCCAGCCTTGCTGTGCCCCAGGGCTTTGGCACATACCGTTCCCACCGCCAGGAAAGCTCTTCCAAGCACATGTGACATCCTGACTCCCACCCTCCACGATCCTCTAACATGTCACCTGCATGTTTCCCTCCTGGCACCTAACGTGGTGTAGATAGAGCTCTGTTGATTTGGTGTGGTCTTGTTCATCAGTGTTTCCCCAGTCAGGCGTGTGCGCCTAATGACAGCTGACAGTCTTAAGCATCGCAGGCTCTGTCTTAAGTCCCTGATACCACTCCCTGAAGTAGGTGTGTGCATTAACCCCATTGTGCAAAGGAGGAGATGGAGACACTGAGAGGTCAAGTAACTTGTCCACAGCTGCACAGGAGGTGAGTGGCAGAGCAGGACTGGCTGTCATGGGCTGGGCCCAGAGCCCTGGGGCTCTTTCCCAGCATGCTTCATTGCCACCCCCGTAAGTTTTCGCTGAATGAGTGGGTGGCACTCTCCCTGCCTTTCTTCTGCCTCACCTGCAGAGTATAAGGCACAGACCCTGCATGGAGACACGTGTAGCCTGACGTAGCCCACTGGGGCTTGGAAGAAGGCATGGAGATCGGACTTGGTGTCACCTGTGCAGGTGGGCTCCTGAACATGGAGCGGCACCATCTGCACAGAGCCTGGTTTCTTGCAATGAAAACAAGTATTTAAAAAATGATTTTGCAAACCTGGATGTATTTTTCCACCGGGGTCACAGGCCGGATACGGAAACGCTCAGGTAGCTCAATTTTGGGCTTTGGGACCGGGGGCTCCTCTTTACGCTTGATCAACTGAAACAGAGTCCCCAGAGACAGAAGCTCAGTGGAGCCAGGCCAGAGGGCCACATTTCATGAAGACAAAAGCAAGGCTCAGAGGCTGTTAACTGGCTGGTCCCAATGACACAGTTAGAAAGGAGCCCATCCATCCATCCACCTACCCATTCATCCTCTATCCACTCACCCATTTACTCTTCCATTCATCCATCTATGTATCCATTAATCCATTCACCCACCCATCCATTTATACACCTACCTGCCTATGCATGCATGCATCCATCCACCCATCCATCCATCCATCCATCTATCCACCCACCCACCCATCCATCCATCTATATACACATCTGCCTATGCATGCATGCATCCATCCACTCATCTACCATCCACCCACCCACCCATCTATACACCCACCTGCCTATGCATGCATGCATCCATCCACACATCCACCCATCCATCCATCCATCCATCCATCCATTCACCCATCCATCCATCCACTCATCCACCCATTCATCCATCCATCCACCCATCCATCTGCTCATTTATCCACCCACCCTTCATCCACCCACCTATCCACGTATCCATCCATCCATCCATCCATCCATCCATCCATCCATCTGTCCGTCCATCCCAGCAGCCCTCGAGTTGACCCTAACTCAGGATGACCCCATTTGTGTCTGACTAGATCAGAACAGAACTGTCCCCATGCGGTTTTCAAGGCTGGTTCTTCGGAAGCAGATCAGAAGGCCTTTCTTTCCAGGTGCCTCTGGGGGGACTTGAACCTCCCACCTTCTGTGGTGGCTGAGTGTGGACCGTCGGTCCCACCCAGGGGCTCCTAGGAAGGAGAAGAGTGGGGATCTGACCGCTGCCATTGACAGGGACACCCACGCCTGCTCACTGCCACTGTTGATTCCCACCTTCCGTGTGGCATCTGAGAAAATCTGCCAGGTGACAGACTCGAATGAACAATGCCAACAAGCTTCCAGGACCGACTTCTAAAATAGCACAGGAGAACTTCCTCTCCTTTCCATCAGAAAGTTTGAACTCTATTTAATCACATATAAAGAATGTTAATATAGACTTCTTTATGCATATTATATTAATACTCATTTTATGCATAGAATTTCAAACTGCATAACTCCCTAAGAATTAAAAAAAAAAAAAAAAAAAAAAACCACCTCATTAAGAATGGCATCATTGGAAGCAAGGGTGGGGGGAGTTATAATTGGAGTTGGCACTGCCTCAGATCGTGGATGTGTGGCATTTGTGGTCGTGAAAACCGAGTCCCGCCAAAGGGACAGGGCTTCTGAGAAGGGGCTTCCTGGTGGTGAGTCCTGGCAGTGGCTTCAAGGTTGCAGGCTGGTGGCCCGTGGCCCCACTGAGGCCTATGCAGCGTTTTAGTCGTTGGTACAGTGTGTTCTAAATGAGTCAGCATTTGTCATGGATGACGTGTGCTGCAAATCCTAACCCCTGTATCTGTGGGAGGAAGCCCTGGTGGCAGAACGGTTAAGTGCTTGGCTGGTAACCAAAAGCTCAGTAGTTCGAAGCCACCCGTGGCTCCTCGGGAGGGAGACCTGGTGATGTGCTCCTGTTACGGTGACAGTCCAGGAAACCCCATGGGCAGTTGCACTGTGTCCCGTGGTGTCGCCGTGGGCAGCAGCAGCAGCCTCCTGTCGATGTGACCCTCTGGGAACAGGGCTTTGTTATGTAACTGAGGCCCCATCAGTGCAGGCTGTGCTTTGAGCCTATCACTCGTGAGATATGACACAACAACGAGACAGAGCAGCACGTACAGATGCCACCATGTCATGTGACTCTCACCAAAGAAGTGAGGATCAGAAGCTGGAAAGAGGCAAAGCCTTTCCCCCCGACGCGACACAGAGAGAAGCCCTCCCCTGGAGCCAGTGCCCTGAATTCAGGCTTCCAGTCTCCTAAACTGTGAGAAAATAAACTTCTGTTGGTTAAAGCTCCCCCCTTGTGGTCTTTTGCTTACAGCGGCACCAAGAAACTAAAACAGTTGTAAAGGCAGAAGACTCAGTAAACCTCTGGGTTTCTGCTCTCAAACCGTCGGGATGTGCGCTTGGCATTCTGTGGGACAGCACTTCTGGGTTGATGGCAGATGTCTCTTTGGATGGGACCAGAGGTCGCTTTGCCGGTGTCCCCATTACTCCTCATTAATTGTGCCCAGTCCCTTCTCCGGTTGCGGTCGCCTGTCTGGTCCATGTACACTCCTGTGCGATGCCTGGCTTAGGGAATGCAGAGTGTTTTACCAGTGACCCCTTACGTGCTCGTCCGCCTCCCAGCCTGCCGAGGCTTCCATGTGCTTTCTGACCCCCTGAACCTCACAGCCACTCAGCCAGCAGGAGCACACTCGTCCCATTTACAGGTGGGACATCTGAAGGCACGTGGCCGCAGAGTCAGGTGATCAGCTCCTCACCTCGGCGCTTAGCTGTGGGCCTCTGCACCTCTTTGAGGTCAGTTTCTTAATCTGTCAAATGGGCCTAAAACAGCAGCCGCCTCTGCACAGGGTGTGAGGTTTCTAGGAGGTGGTGCACACGAAGGCCCTAGAATGTGCCTGACACATGCTGAGAGCTCAGTGAATCTGTGGGACTTGGCCATCTTCACCTACAACGTGCTGAGGGGAAGAATTTGTTCTTAAGGGGCACTGGGTCCTGCAAGTGGTGAATGCGCTTCGCTGCTCGCTAAAAGGCTGGAGGTGCGAGTCCACCCAGAGGGCCTTGGAAGAAAGGCCTGGCAATCTACTTCTGAAGAACCAGGCTCGAGAGCCCCATAGAGCCCCTTCCTCCTGTGCACGTGCGCAGGCTGTCACCATGGTCAGAACCGACTAGACGACCCCTGGTAAAATGGTTATTCTTACAGATCATCCATTTCATAGCTGTTTATTCTTCCAAGCAATTGATTTCTAACCTATGGGCTCCTCAACGTGTCTTTACCTCCTCAAGGGGCGTGGTTAAGAACCCCCAGTTCTGGGCCCAGTTCTTCCGTGCTTCGGTTTCAGCCTTCAGGCGGCATTTCCTGAAAAAGAAAGTTTCTAAGTGCCGGACAGTGTTTGAAAAGTGTTTGAAAGGTGTGGAAGGGTCCCCTGGGAAGAAGGTTACATTCTTCAACCCCCCCAAACCCAAACCCACTCTCATCAAGTCAACAGTGACCCTAGAAGACACAGTAGAACTGCCCCAGAGGGCTCCCCAGGTTGGCATCTTTTAAAGAAGCAGATTGCCTCATCTTTCTCCCACAAAAGCAGCTGCTGGGTTCAAACTGCTGAACTTTTGGTTAGCAGCCCAGGGCTTTGACCATTCTAGGCACTAGACCCCTCTCCCTTTCGAGCCCCTGTAACCCACAGTAGTGGGCTCACGTCAAAGAATTCTGGAGGGTAGAGATTAAGTCTTGTGCTCACGGCCAGGACTTAGGTGAGGCAAGTCAGGCAGCCGGGGGCAAAATTTCAGGAGGCGCTCAGGTTCAAGGTCAGATGAGTATCGATTCTGCACACACATGTGTGGGGTGCTGAGGTCCAGCCCTCCTGAACACTCGAGGCCTAGGGGCCCCACTCGCCGCCCCTAGTTCCGGCTGTGCTGGTGTTCTCCGTTAAAGATAATTTACATACAGCTGCCGACAAGCTGGGTGCCCCTGGGTGGTGACAATGGTCAACGTACTCAGGTGCTGCCCGAAAGGTTAGAGGCCCGGGTGCACCCAGAGGCACCTTGGGCGGAAGGTTGGCAGTCTACTTCTGGAAGGTGTGCTGTTGAAAACTCCAGGGAGCACAGTTCTACGCGGCTACCGGGGCTTGCCATGGGCCAGGGTCAAGTCCATGGCGCTTGGTTTTTGCCGGTGGGCTGAGCTAGGCCGCAGGTGGGGAGCGGGCATGTCATATTTTGCATTTTATTCATTTTGATTGTCCACGTTTCTCTGGACACTTTGGAATGACTATCTATCTGTACCCCCTCCAGGTCTTGAGCTTGGAGACTCTTCAGCCTCTTTAACCCAGGACACCGAGCATCTAGACAGTTAATTCACAGTCAGAATACAACATGACCACAGATAGGAATGACATAGGCCATCTTAACCATCTTTCCAGTAGCTACATAAAAAAAAAAAAAGGAGAAAGGAACAGGTAAATTTAAATCTTAAACCGTGGGGTTTTTGGTACGTTGAAATCTCAACGTACTTTATACTTAGAGCTCATCTTAACTTGCTCCGTCCTGTTCCAAGTGCTCAGTAGCCACTTTGGGCTTTCAATAGCCCAGTACACAGAGAAGGGGCCATCTGACTTGGATCTCTGAGGATGAGTAGGAGTTTGGTGAAGAAGGGAGGGAAGAACATTCCAGCAGAGGGAACAGACTCTGCTATGATAATATTTTCTAATGGAGATTCTGGATGAAGATTTTTTTTTTAAATTAATGGCATTTTATGGCAAATGATGACTGGGTTCCCATTTGTGAGAGTGATATCAACTTTCTCATAAAAATAAATTTATTTAAGTGAAATAGAGCCAGTTTAAAGGAAAAATATCGAATGACTAATAAAGGGTTCACAAGGAAACAGTAAAAAATATAAAGATGGCAGATAGGATAACTGAAGTTTAGGAGGGAAGCAATTATGCTTTGTTTTCCCAAACTTTCTCTATTTGCATCTAAATGAGCAACTTGGTACATTGCTGAAAATGTCCCAGAGAAGGGCTGATGCTATTTAATAATCTGACAGAACGCCAATTAAAATGATCCATCAGAAGTGTCTGCTGAGCACAACAAATCTTTTAGAAAATGGATCTGTTTTTAAATTAAATGGTTTTATTATTTAAAATAGGAGAATTTAATTGAAAAAATAGATCCATTTCAGGAGCTCTGGTGGTGCGGTGCCTAAGGCATTTGACTGCTAATCAAAAGCTTGGCAGTTCAAACCCACCAGCCCACTCCAGGGAAGGAAGAAGGGGCGACCGACCTACTTCAGCAAAGATTTACTGCCTCGGAAACCCAAAGGGGGTCACTATGAGTAGGAGTCGACTGGAGGGCAGTGGGTTTTTTTTTGTTTACTACTTAAAAAACAAAAACAAACCAGGAAGGTAAAAAGGTAAGATAAAGGGCACAGGGATCTCTAAGTCAAATGGAATAAATATTAAGATGTTTTGTTTCTTTTCTTTTTTTAAGTCGACAAATCTTAAAAATAATGTATTAGCAGGCCCTCAACAAGCAATTGTTGGCTAACTGCTGTAAAGCCCCATGAAGACTGCGTCAGAACAGGTGGCGGGCCTAGAAGAAGGGCAAGGTTCTCCTTGTTGCCTAGTGTTTCTATCCTGGTCCCCTTTTCCTCAGGGCCTCTGGCCACAACCACGGGGTTGGTGGGGACCCGGAGGCCACCAGGTGTGCACAGGTGGGGCTGGCCAGGCCCACCTGGGGACCAGACCCCTCCAGGGCGCCGCGTTACCATATCTCGTCCTGAGCCACGAAGTTCATGCGCTCGGCCGCCGCGGTGCTGATCGGCTTCTGGGCCATGAGGGTTTGTTTGGGTCGGGCTGCAGCGCTGGCCCTGAGCTCAGCGTTTGGCCTTGTCCGGGAGATCGGTTGCCAGGCAACGGGGGACGCGTGGCGGGGGTGGAGCCTCGGGGCTCAAGGGGGCGGAGCGCGTTCTAGAGACACCTCCCACCACCACTAGCCTCTGTCCATTCGGAGCCTTGCACCGCCTCCCTGCTCACCCACCTGCCCCTCTCCTCTGGGGAAAACGTTAAGGAAACCCCAAGACCTAACCACTCCGTTTAAAATGTGAACGTTGAGGGGAAGTCCATATGCAGACAAGCGCACAGCTCACAGAACGAGGTCTGAGAGCGCACCGGTAGCCACCAGCTAGGTCACCGCACTGCAGGCCCCCAGCTCGCCTCCCCGTCACTGTCACTCCCTCCCTGGTCCCGCCCGCTGCCCCCAGCAGAGGTGAGTCGGTCACCGTCTGAACGTGGTGCTCCTGGACATCAGCTGCTTTTTTTTTTTTTTTGTGCCTGGCTTTTCTGCCCAAGAGGATGGTTAGCGCTTTGTCCTTAGTGGTTCATTTCCGTTCGTGAACAGGTCCGTGCTGCTGCTGGCGGACCTCGCATTCAGTGTTCCGCCTTAGTGCTGCTCTGGGCATCACTGTCCCTGCCTTCGGGGGAGCTCTGCCTGGGTTTCTGTGGGCACTGACTTTTCACCACCACTGCAGATGAAGCTCAGGAGGCTCTCGTGGTGCCAACAGGCAGGTCGTCCATTCCAGTCTGCCCAGTGCTCTGCGGGACAGAGACCTGGCAGTGGGCTCTGGGGAAGATTACAGCCTAAGAAACCCCATGGGAGGTTCTACTCTGTCTCTTGGGGTCGTTATATGTCAGCATGGACTTGTTGGCACCCAGCAACAAAATGAAGTTCACACACAAAGTCCCGTCCAGCACCCAACAGCCCACTCTCTCCATTCAGGCCCTTGAACACCGATCAGCCAATCATAGGGGATCTTGGTGTTTGTTGACTGACTCATTGCTCACCATGTCACTGTAGGCCTGGGACTGGAAAGCAGGTCCAAGAGACAGCGCAAGGGGATGACTGCAAAGGGCAGGGGCAATCATGGCCTGAGCAACCTTGGGACGCATAGGTGCCTGAGCCTGACAGGCTAGGAGGAGGAGGCAGCATGTCTGGGCAGGTCCCCTCCAGAGAAGTGCCCAGGTCTCACTTGGGGGGTGGCGGTGGTTGTACCCTTGTCTGGGAGCATGATTCTCCCCAGCTTGCTGCCTTCCCTCTCCCTGACCCCCACCCTTGTCACCAGGCTCGTACTTTTGTAGGTGTTTGGAGGAAGGTACAGTTGGGCAATGGCTGGGTGGTTTCCTCTCATACCCAACTCTCTCAGTGATGGCTTAAGGCCATGGGGTCTTCCTGGCTGTTGGAAATGCCTGGAGGAAGCCCAGCATTGGGGTGGTCCCAACTGCCCACTCAGCCAGAACAGTGAGGGGTGGGAGGGGCACAGAGTTGGAGCTGGATGGATCCATGATGCAAGTGTAACCCACTATGCCAGTGGCTGAGCCCAGAGCGAGCAGCTGGTGGGGCTGCAGGGCCGGGCTTTCTCCCTGGCCCTTCCCCTGAGGTTGCTACCTCTACAGCAGGAGAGGCCTGCTGGGGTGTTATTAACAGGAGATGGCTAAGCGGGGAGAACCACCGTCCGTCTGCCCGTCTCTCCTCCTGTGGTGGCTATGTCACCAGCACTGCAGATCCCAGTGGGGTCTCCCATGGTGGACAGGTTTCAGCGGAGCTTCCAGACTGAGAGAGACTAGGAAGAAAGCCCTGCTGGTCTATGTCTGACGGCCAGGGACCCAGGGGCTCACGATGGCATATTGTCCAATACGGTGCTGGAAGTGGAGCCACGAGGCTGGGAGGCACTCAAAATATACAGTGGCCATAATGGGAGCTCTAGTGGTGCAGTGCCTAAGGCACCTGACTGTTAACCAGAAGGCTGGCAGTTCAAACCCACCAGCCACTCCTCGGAAGGAAGGCTGGGAAGTCTACTTCCATAGAGATACCGCCTTGGAAACCCAAGGAGGGGTCTCTATGAGTTCGGATCGACTGGAAGGCAGTGAGTTTGGTTTTCTGGGTTTTTTCTAATGGGGTTGAGCACACCAGTGACCATGAGGAAGGTATAGGACTGGACACTCTTTGTCCCGTTGTACGTAAGATCACCATGAGTCGGGACCAACGGCAGTGAACAACAACAAAAGGCAGACAGACCATGTCATCAGGGCGAATTCTGCTTTGTCCTTGGTGATCATCTTAAGATGACTCTGTCAAAATGAGTAATAAGAATAAATCCCTTTATTGATGTTGATCACATGCCAGACAGTGAGAACTCATTCATCCTACAAATGCTGAGTGGCTGAAATGCGCCCTGGTGGTGCAGTGGTTGAATGCTCAGTTGCTGACTGTAAAGTCGGTGGTTCAAATCCACCAGGTGCTCTGTGGGAGAAAGATGCGGCGGTCTGCTTCTGCAAAGATTACAGCCTGGCAAACCCTGTTGGACACTTCTAGTCTGTCCTCTAGGGTCACTGTGAGTCAGAGGCAGTGGCTTGTTCGATGGGGCTGACGCTGATGCTGTTTAGGTGATGGGCGTCCAGGAGGAGCAAGACAGACAGGGTCCCCACTTCCGCAGAGCAGACACCCTGGTGGCCAGCCAGCAAGCTCACACACCGTATAATGTTAAGAAAGTTAAATCAGAGTGGGAGGGTAAGGGCAGAGGGGCGAGGGGTGCAGAGGGGCGAGGGGTGCAGAGGGGCTGTGTCAAGGAAGGCCTCCCTGTGCAGGGGACGTTGGCACAGATCTGATCAGGGAGGGAGAGGGAAGGGATTTGAGAAGTTTTCGGAAGGGGCATGGGGCAGTGATCCTGAGGTGGGAGGCAGAAAAGGTTTCACAGAAGAGGTGATAGATGAGTTGGGTTTTGAGGGATGAATAAGAGCTTGCTAGTCCTCACTCTCTTCAAGAATAGCTGCATGTGGCACCCTGCGGGGGGTAGCCTCAGGACTAGAAATAGGTAGACTATCACGGTTATGCACACAAATTTTGGGATCCCATGTGAGATTGTTGCTGAGTGACTGTAGGCACATTGCTTAACCTCTGAGCTCCAGTTTTCTCCTTTAAAACGAGGTAATGATAGTTCCTGCCTCATAGGGATCTTAGGAGGCTGTGAGGACACAGTGCTCTGCCTAGCACCAGTCAAGGAAACTGGTGTTGGCTGCCTTGATCCAGCCCCAGATGCAGAGGCTTGGGGACCACTGTGGAAGATGCAAACCTACCCTCCCTTCAGTGGACCTGGGGCTTGTTCCTTGAGGGTGTTGTTCTGGCTGTGGGTGGTGCTGTCCCCTGGGAAATCTCCTTTCCTCCTGAGGGGTGCGCGAGGACAGGCTTCACCTGCTGGGGGATTGTGCCTCTACCCACCCCCCTAGGCCACCCTTAGCAACCATCATGGGGCTACCTTGGCAACCACCCTGCCTGGTGCTGCCTTACAGCAGCCCCGAGAGGACGTACTCATTTGTGCTCACTTTGCAGATGGAAAAACGGACTCAACCAATTAAGCAGCTTGTTCAAGGCAGTGGAGCTGGAAGGTGGAAGAGAGGCATTTCAACCAGCCCCGGCTCCCACCGTCCTCCGTATCCCCAAAGCCATGGAGGACGGCCTTCCTTCCCAGGGACAAACTGAGGAGCGAGCAAGCGGACCTTTCCCAAACTTCCTCTCGCTCCTGACCGGTGGAGATGCCGTGTCCTCTCTACGCGTTTCTCAAGTGGCTGCTGCTTGGCCTGGCTGTGGACTCTGAGCAGCGATGACACCCAGTGGCAGCTCGGTTTCTGAGGTGATGGATGTGCGAGGGCGGCTTCCCCACGCAGAGGACTTGTGCGGAGACCTCGGAACCTGTTGGGTTTCTTCTCAGCTGATGCTGGGGGTCCCTGAGGCGCTCACCTTCCTGGACCTCCTGGGGCCTCTCTGGACCCCTTCCCGACTGATGGCCAGGGTGCTGGTTTCAACCTACTGTGGACACACCTACCAGAGTGACAGCTTCTTGTCCTCACTTACAGCCACCAGCAGCCCCTCCTTCTAGCACCTAAGCACCACCACCCCCAGCATTGGTAGATTCAGCAAACAGAAAAAACAGGAGGGACGCCCAGTGGAATGTGTGTTCACACTTACACTACAAGGTCCCTGGGTGACACAGGTGACTTGTGATCAGCTGCTAACCAAAAAGCTGGTGGTTCGAACCCACCCAGCGGCCCCACCGAAGAATGACCCGGTGATTTGCTTCTATAAACCTAACAGTTAAGGTAACAGTACGGGGCAGTTCTACTATGTATCACATGGGGGCGCCAGCAATGGGG